CACACACACACACACACACACACACACACACACACACACACACACACACACACACACACACACACACACACACACACACACAACACACACACACAAAACACACACACCACACACACACACACACACACACACACACACACACACACACACACACCACACACACAGACAGGAGGAGACAATATGAAAGCCTGTTCCTGTTTCTTCTGCCTCGCCTCTGCCAACTTAATTTGCAAATGAAAAGTTTTGTGAGGAGCGTCCTTTTTGCTTCTGGGGCATGGCAGCATACTCTGTGTTTCGGGGTGGGGGGTGAGGATAAGGGTATGACAGAGGGTGTGTGTGTGTGTGTGTGTGTGTGTGTGTGTGTGTGTGTGTGGCAGAAACCCAGATGAAGCAGCCCTCGCCTGGGGCTCTCTGTCCGCCCGCGGTAGCAGCAAGCACTGCCTGTTCCCTCTTCCCCGGCCCGCCGCGACCATTTGTTCCATTAACCAATCTCCTGGAGCCTCTGGTGCAAACACACATACATACACACACACACACACACACATCCACAGGCATACATACTTCAACAACTGCTTGCACAGCTCATACCACACATGGCCCTCCATCCTTCGCTCCATCCCTCCCTCCTCTCCTCCAGACGCACGCACCATCTTTCTTGGTGGAGGCCATATGGCCCAGTGAAGCCTGTGGATCTACAGGCACATCTGCGTATATGTTGCTGCTCCTTAAAGGCTGCACAGTGAGCTCACACACACACACACACACACAAACACACACATTTCCAGGGCTGACAAACACACTCTGCTGTCACAATGTGTGGTTAAGCAAACGTTGGTGTGATGTTGGTCTTATGTGTGTGTGTTGGTGAGTGTGTGTATGTGACCTCAGTGTGTACATGCATAGTGATAATTGGTGAAACAGCCTGCGAGCAGCTGTGGGGTGAGAAAAGGTTGCGTGGTGTTTCGTGGAGAAAGCGGAGGGGAGGAGGAGAAGGAGGAGAGGAGGAAAGTTGGAGAGTAAGAGAAGAGGAAAAGGAAGTGAAAGGAGAGAAGAGGGCGAGGTGAGGAGAGGAGAGAAAGTTTAAAAAGCTGCAAAAGTCGGAAATATTTTCAGAGCTGTAAAACTGAAATATTTCATGATTAAACCATTAGGCTGATTTTCACAGTTCTTAGCAAGATCTGACATGTCCATTGATTGGTACGTGACCTTTTGCTTTTGTGATTTCCAATTTACCCCTGTGAAAATGCTCAGTCAAATCATCATTTTGTAACAGATCTTGTACGCTATGATTTAGATCTCAAGCTTTAATGACTTTAATAACACACGCATCCATCGGCCAACATTTTGAATCTGTGATTTAGTTGATGGGAATGATGAAATGTATTCGATTCGTTTTAACGAACTAATTCTGACCTCACTGAGAATCAAGGTGAAAGAGATGATATATTTTTAGGTCTGTAAAAATGTACGTGAAAAAAAAGTGTTAATTACATTTTGATGCTGTGCTATGAAGCTCCCTAATAATATTTTTGACCTGTTTTTGAGAAATGTCCAATAATAAATAAACATATATTTTCACAAAGCAAGCATATTTGTCCAATTCCATGTTGATAAGGTTATAAAATAGTTGAAAAATCTCCTTTTATGTATCATTTTGTATTGATACAAATGTGTGAGATTTACAATCAACTATGGATTATCATTTGATGAATCGCGATGAAATATTTTAAATCAGCCATAATTATTTTTCTTTGGATATGCTTGAAAGAAGCACAAGAAATTTGCATTATAACTAAGTACAATTTCACAGATCAAATACAGAATCTGAAGATGACTTGAAGAACTGAAATAAAAAACTGGGCTGGAAAACCTTCCAAGTTTCATGTCAAATTAAAATGTAACATTTAATAATATGATTTCTTATATAAAAAAGCATGATATCAAAATGAATCATTAACAGTAACTGGCTTCAGATCTTCCCTAACTCCATCCCTCCACCCTCCGCTCTATTTCCGGGCAAAAAAACAAAAACAACACCATCCGACATCCCAAAATAAATAATTAAGTGGTGCAGCAAAACATTGTGTGCTAAAACCCCTGTGTAGTTTGGCAATCAGCTTGCCCATGTAAAAATAAATCAAGCTGATTTTCCAAATGTTTTGTGCGTGTTGCGCTGTTGCCGCTCTTCGCAGCACAGATTGCAGGCCGATGGAGGGGCTGTGAGGAGGGCGGGGCGCTGGATATTGAACCCACTTGCACCAGCTTGTTAACACGTACACCTTAACCCCCGAGCGGCGCGGCGGGGCGCCACCGAACGCTCGGGGCCTGCAGGGACCCACGATGGTATATCGATGTATGGACGAGACATACTGAAGATAACAAGTACATGTATGCTATTCAGTTTGACATCAGCACCATGTAGAGGGACTGAAGTACAACTGCATGCACACAGAGTGAATCCCTGCCTCCACGGCTTAATTCAGACATCATTGCAAGATATGACTCCCATCAAGCCCTGATAAATACTGTGGATCTGTTTTTTTGTTTAAGCTAAAAGCGATGTGTCAAGAATATATTTGTGGCATGTTTTCAAGTTTTGCCCCCGGAGTACGATCAGTACCATAAATACAATCACTTACTGAGTACCAGCTGCGGTGTGGATCATCGTAAACGTGAGTCATAACTCCTTCCTGTCTCTTCCCTATACAATAAAATATATAAAAACTGCAAAAATACATCTAATTACGGCTCAAATCTAATAACTACATTCCCAAAACATACAACAGAAATTGTGGTCAAGCGGCTTTTCAGTCACTGCAAAAAGTGACCTCATGTAGAGCTGAACTCTAGAGAGTTCTAAATATCAGGAGGATTCATCAACCAAGTGAGTGTCAAAGCAGAAAATAAAACTCAATAAATGCCAAGAGTGATTATCGTGGTTCAGTTGGGAGAAGGGAGAAGTTAGGTGCCAACTTCCCAGCCAATCCACTTTTGGCAGCCAGATTCCTACTCTGCTAAACCTCCTGAGAACATGCAATAGCAACCCATACACACACACACATTAAAATACCACCACAACATATGCGCGGAAACATACAGAATATTCATACTTCACACTTCTTGACAACTTAGATTGTTTTTCTATCTATGAAACACACAAAAAGAGTCGCACACGGGCAGGAGACAGCTGTGACTCGGTAAACTTTGTTTTTTGGCAGCGTCTCACTGTCGACAGGTTAACACCGGTGGGTGGTAGACAATATGTAGTGTCAGGGATGGAGCAGGAGGAAAAGGGTGAGTGTGTGTGTAAGAAGAAAGGTGGAGTTGGGTGGTGGCGGAGCTCTGGGGTAGAGATCCTGCAGAGTGGGGCAACAACACCCACACACACTCGCCTACAATGGGAGAGCCAGGCTGAATGCCAGGCGCCCTGTGGAGACACACACCAACTGGGCTCCACACTTAGAGGGGAAGAGACCCCCGCATCACACACACGTACAGAAACTGTAGCATAAGCCAAAGATGGAGCCACTTATAGCTCAAAGTAAATATCTCCGGAATCTCTCCCTATATCCTACGAAAAGCCTGATATTTACTTTTTGCCTTTTGTAACTGACCATGCTTACATGCAGACCAATAAACCATTAATACTATTGTAATCTTCAGGATTAGATCAGAGTTGTGTAAACAGTATAATCATATCAATAATCAAAATAAGAACTTACTCCGAATGTAGCTTTTTTCCAACTACGACATGAGAAGACTCCAGTATTTTTGTGTTTTAGGAGGAGTTGTTGGACGGACAGCGCTTTTAGAATATGTGTCTCATTGGGGTTTTTACTTTAGATCGCAGCACACAGCCTCTTGCATCGAGGTTCATTCTTGTGAACAACCATTCAAGAAGAATAGCCCGATAAATACGGTCTTGCAAAACTTGCCGAACAGTGAAAACGAGGTTACGCCACAGCATCATGAATGCATGTCAAATAGGAGGTACTTTTACATAATTTAAACGGCCTAGCCGCAGGACACCACGCATTGGGTTTGTTACGGAGGAATATTCTCATTAGCCATATACCAGTAATTAGGAATATTGTATTTTTGCTTTAATCAGGGCATCAAACCGAATACTTTTTACAAAAAGGTGTAACCATTGATAGATTGTCCTCAAAGTGCTAAACAATATCAGAAAATAGCAGGAACTAGTGCAAAAAGCCCATCACAACTTTAGTGAATGAGTGATTAAGGAGTGTAGTCACACTGCTCATTATCAAGTTTAAAAAAAGGACAAACTCAGCTGTGATGATACTGTAGATCGAGCTACAAAGACTACATGAGCTTTAATTCACTTTGACTCCAAATCAGTTTGCAGTTCACAACCCAATCAGGTAGTCTTTTTGATGTCCCAGTCACCTGAATTATTGCAGAAATCAATGATTAATCCGATATACAAGTAACTAATATCCGCCTTTTTTCGTATACTTGTTGATCAGATGACTTGTGGGAAACGTGAATGCCGTAACTGTTTTCTGCGGACCATCAGAAGACATTCATGTGAGTCTATAACTAGACTATATTATTTATTTTCAGCAAATTGTATAAAAAAAGTAGATTTTTGATCAGAGACAGTTTGATCTGCCTTCTGATTAACTGGAACATGTTGCCTCTGCACAGACAGCAGGAGAGAAAACTGCTGATGACACAAAAACCACTGTGACAAAACTATTTCTATAAGGATTAAACATTAGATGTGCACATGATGGACAGATTGTGAAGAAAGCTTCAATTATTTCTTCTTTTTTGAAATACTGCAACTGCAGTGGTTTTTGGGTTGAAAAAATAACTCATTTTAAAACATAACTTTTCATAGTTCTACAAATTAGTTGTTTAATTAAAATTAAACAACAAAACCATTACCTAAAAAAGAAAACATTACCCCTTATGAAATCAGATGAAGATATAGGATGAATAAAGGGTGTGTATGTGTGTGTGTGTTGGCGTACCTGTGCTTCATGCGCTGGTGCATGCGGCCGTGCTGCACACACTGATCCTCCATATCAGCGCAGCGAGCTCTCAGACTCTTTACGGACTCCTCGAGGTGTTGCTTCTCCAGGGCCAGCTGCTCCAGATCCCCTCTGCACACACAAAGACAAACATCAAGACATAATATAGAGAAATTATGTAAATGCAATATAATAGATATAATAATAAATAACAAAACAATCAGCCAAGATAAGTCTAAACAGGTTAGTCCCTTGTCTCCTCAGATCTTTAAAATCTTAAGATCTGTAGTTACTTGTTCTTAACACAATTTATTTTCCCAATTACACTTTCGCGGCCCAATACAACAGTTCTGCAAAGCTATCTGACAAATTCAAGTTGGTTTCTCAGCTGCCTGTTGTTTTTCGTTTGGAGTCTTTACTGATTTGTTTGTAAAACTCCTTCAAATACTCATAAACTGGTTTCAGCACTACCAGTACCTGCGTTGTACGAATTTCCGGTCGCAAAAGCCATGCCGGCATGCAGGGTGCCGCCTCACGAGAATTAACAGTGCTTACGTTCATGGTCACTAGTTACAAACGGATACCTTCAGTCTACCATTCATCAAACACAGGAGCATGATCTGATAACTGCTCAGAGTCAGACTAACAACTGAACACCATTTGTCAGTAGTTTCCTCCTCTTGCTGTCTCTTGTTGTAACCTCTCTTAGCCCGAGTGGGGCCGTCCAGCAGGACTTTAACCGCTACACTGGGCTTGGACTCCAGGAGCTCAAACAGCCTGAAGCACAAAACACACCAACACCACACTGCTGCTAAACTACAGAACACACACATACAGCAGATGTAGGCTATGAGCCTTCATGCCAGTGTGTCAGCATGTATGCAAGTTCCTATCGTAAAAAACACATTCAAGGTGGCAGTTATTACTGTGTGCTTGTTCGTGTATTTAGTATTGATGTCCACTCATAACAAATACACAGGGTTCTCAGGACAGTGCGGTCTGGCAGGGCCAGATTGGGAGCTGTCATGTGACTAATGTGCAGCACAGCTCCAACAGCTGACAGGACACTGGGCCCAGGGTCACTCTCACACACACACAGACACACACCCGAGTACACGGACACACACACAGGCAGCCCAGATGGAGAGCTGTGCAGGCCTGCTGTGACTACTGTAGCATCAGGTTAACAAGAAAACAGGTCAGACTGCAGAGCAGTGTGTAACATGTTGACATGCTCTGTCCAAACAGCCTGGATAGATGATGCCTCATGAAATAATGACATGGATGTCCAACAGAAACGAGGGATAAACAGCAGAGCGGGTGAATAATTAACGGGAAAATACAGGCTTAATCAAAACAATGACCAAACGCAGATTTTGATTACCCTGTGAAGTAGCGTGGGATCATGGGAGATGTTGTCTCATTACACACATTACAATCATTCAGCTTCCACAGGTTAGTATTTCTTAATTGTTACAGTGGCAGCTGAATTATCTGCAGGTCTCCTCCTCTTCAAAACTAACCGAACGGATCAGTAACATCTGAATAAAGCAGATTCAATTTCAAGATAACGTTTGCTCAGCCTTTTACTTGAGAACCAGACGTCCCATGATAAGATATTCGAATAGGTCAAAATATGTATGTATGTAGTAACAAAAAATCAGAAAATGTGTCTTAAAACTTGATTAAAAGTCAATGGACTGTTGTTTAAAAGTGATATAAATGACAGACACAACAATATAATATATAACAAAGCTCAAGTCCTTTTAGAAACTTTCAAATGAAATGTTGCTTATACATTTGACTAAAACTAAAAGTGAGTAAATGGATGTTCAAACAAAGAGGAAATGGCCCGAAAGACAAAATACTGACCGGCTGTTTTCTGTCAGCTCTTCCAGTTTGACTCCCAGCGAGCAGCACTCGTCCTTCAGCTTCCTGATCAGGGAATTCTGGGAACTCAGCAGCCCATCCAGTTCTCCAACTGCAATGGATCATGGGAAAGTTGTTGGTTATTGTGAGGTCAACTATAGTGGGTGACTTTGAGGAGCTGTCAGAGATCCTGTCCGCACAGACACTGATTCATGCAACGCATCACTTCATTTACACACCTTTACTTTACAGTCCACACGCTCAATAAAAAATCGACAGGAACAAATGAATATTACCTGACTACTGTACTGTACATGAGACACATTTTGAGTCAATGCAAGGTTTTCTGATGCTGTGCATTGAATACAAAGTGAACACACTAAAAAAACAGACACAATTAAATAATGCTTTAAAATTATATGCGTATTTTATAGAAAAAACTATTTAAAAAAACGTCAAAAAGCTTCTTTCTTTCAAATTCACAGATCAAACAAGCTTAGTGAACAACAAGCTCAAGCTGCGGTTAAACGTACGTCAGAATAAAAAATGGATAGAATACGAAATTGAATTTCCTTAGAATTTATTTATTTTCATTTAAAGTGGACCTATCATGCTATATTTGAATAATATAGTGTAGGACCATACCTATATAAGGCATATTTATACTTTTTTTTTTTCAAAATACCAAACAGATCATGCATTTTAGCCATGCCTCATTTTGCTCTATTTGACATTTTTTAGCTCTGTTTTTGCAAGGGCTGATTCTGTGAGAACAGCACCATCTAGAGGCCTGGCATATGTACTACAGCGTCTCCAGGGCTTTCGAACGGCAATGGCCGTGGCTGTCTCCTCCTGATTGGTGGAGTTGGCCCAATAGCCGTAGCGCCACCGTCCTGACGTCAGGACAGTGTTAAAATCTGGATCAGTTTTTATCAGATCCGTTGCAGCCCCTTTTTTAGAGATTTGGGTATGGAGGAAATAGAGAGGGTTGTGTTTTCTGACACTTGGTGAGTTCCCTGGAACACCGGGGACACATATTCATGTATAAAAGACGTACAAAAGTGCATTTTGCATGATAGGTCCCCTTTAAGTTACATTACATTTCATTTAGCTGACGCTTTTATCCAAAGCGACTTACAATTACCAATTACAGGGACATTCTCCCTGGAGTAACTGAAGTTACAATTTATAAAGAAGAAAAATACATTGTGGATCTAATCAGTAATGCTAGTATGATTCAATACAACTACCTGATGTACTGTATAATAATAAAAGTTAGTAAAAACATAACTCAAAGGATAGTTAATTATCACCAACAATACATTTCCATTAACAGACTGAGCAAACAGCCAGAGGAGAACATCGACACTACGGACTAAACTGCACAATTAAATATAGTGTAACAAACACTGCAGCAAAAGTGAGATACATATGTCTCTTTGAATGTATTCCCAAAAATGCTTTGGTCGACATTCACATTAAAATCAAAACAACAGGCGGGGACGTACAGAGCACAAACACAGAGAACAGAGGATGGGAAAATAAAGAGTTTAGTGAGAAGGGTAAAATGAGATGGAGAAAGAGAGGGGGATTGTTGTTTGAAAGCGCTTTCTTTCTCCTTTCCACCCTTCCTGCCACGTCCTCATCCGCTCATGGGGGCCTCTTTCTGAACAATCCAACACTGGGCTTTCATCATTCCTTTGAAATGATCCACGTTCAGCTCTCCAACATATGTCTGCTCTTTTAAAAATAACAATGGCTGCCGTTTGGATTGAGGGAATGATCCACCTGCTCCTGCATTCTGTTACAGTCAACCCAAACCAAAAACACCAAGGACTCATAGTCTTTGAAAAGTAGCTCACACTTGTGAAGAGTTGCTTTTTTGCATACAGCAGAAAATAATCAGGGTGGGGGTAAGGAAAAGGAAGCGGGGGAAAAAAGTAGTGGAATAGCCATGATGAGAAATTCCTACGTTTTGATACTTACGTTATACCTGAAGGCTGAAATTTGACTCTACACTAAACGTCATTCTTTTTCATGCTCGATGTGCAACATAAATGCTATTAAAAACAGTATTATAAAAGGGAGAAATTACGACTAGGAGAGGCCGATTTCTTCTGATGTTTCACGTTATATTATTAACTGCACATGTGAGGTAACCCCGCTGACCTTTCCCAGCGTCTGTCCCCAGATGCCTGCCACAGAAGATGCATGCAGGGCAGAAATTGGACGCCGCAGAGCGTGAAACTAAACGACTCAAACTCGGAGACACACACACACGTACAGTACACTCAACAAAGTTTGGTCAGTGCTGGAAAAGTTGCATGAAGAATGCTAATTAGCTGAACAGGCTTTGAATGCGTCTGTCCATGCGTAGGCCAAAAAGAACCCTGGGACACAGAAACACAGCAGAACTGGCACTGGAAACAAACAGAGAAAGAAATTAGGGAGGGGGGGAGGGATGGAGAGAAGAAGCGTGGCATGTAGGGAGGGAGAGAGAGAAACAAATATCTGATATCATCTAGAGGCTGCTCTGTACACATTTATGAAAAAAAGACACAGAAAAAAGGTGGGAAGGAGTGAAGAAGAAGAGAAAGGGGGGGGGGGGGGGACGGATGCATGGAAGGACAAACGGACGGACAGAGAGGCGGGATTTGGAGAGCGGGAAAGCTAATTATCCAGCTCGTCTGTTGGGCAGCACGGGGAGAGGAAGTGATGCGAGCGACTAAAAGGACGTCCACCCCTCCATCCCCTCCCCGTCCACAGTTTCCTGCTGTGCTCTGATGTCAGCTCTCTTTAGACAACATGTGTGCTGCCGACATGCGCCAGAAACAAACCCTTTGTTTACCCCCCCCCTCCCTCCATCTATTCCTCCCTCTGTACCCTCCATCTTTGTTCTGCGTACCAGCAGGCTCCCTTGGTTGTTGAAGGGAACCACAGGTAAATAAAAAGATAGGGGCAGGGGAGGGAGGGGTTGAGGGTGGGTGGTGGGTTTGAGGGGGGGGGGGATCCAGATGGTGCAACAGATGTGCGAGCAGCAGCAGGCAGACAGACAGGGAGCGCTGGGTCTCTCTGCGCTGCTCCCATCACCTCTGCTGCTCTCTCGTCTCCTCTTACGGCTTCTGATTTGCTCTTTTGAGGTCACTTCACTTCCTGTCCGTCCCCTCCCACTCCGGACACGTTGTGCAGCTGGGAGCAGGGGGGGCACAGTAAAAGAGAAAAGCATCCTTTAACTGGAAGACGCAGGTTCAAGACCCTTTTCCAGCAAAGACCCTCCCTGCTGAAGTGTCCTTGAGGAAGAGGCTGAACCCGGTCTGTATCCGACCCTGATTAACTCTGCTGTTCTGCTCCTTGCAGTTCTGACTGTACAGACACAGTGTGCTCCATCATATTTAGTTCTGCTTTGTTCTGCCCCCCCCCCCCTCACACACACACCACAAAACAACTAATATGCATGTTTACCGCACTGAAAGAGGAGAGTTTATATTTTGCGCCTGTGCGGCTGTGTGGAGTTGTTCTCGTGTGTGTGTGTGTGTGTGTGTGTGTGTGTGTGTGTGTGTGTGTGTGTGTGTGTGTGTGTGTGTGTGTGTGTGTGTGTGTGTGTGTGTGTGTGTGTGTGTGTGCGTGTGCGGGTGCGGGTGTGTGTGTGTGTGTGTGTGTGTGTGGCCTGGTTACTGAAAAACATTTAATGCAGCTCTTTGGGGAGTCGGACCACCAACGTCTGCCTGATCCAATACAGCAGCCAGACCTGATCTCCTGCCATTCTAGCTTGAATGCCAAAGCATAGCAGACACAGGAAGGTAATATTTTCGGTTCAGTTTGTCGGTTGGCTTGCATGGCTTTCAGCAGGATGATGGAGAAACTAATGGCCCGACTTGGTAAAAGGTTTTAGCGTGGGCCAAGGATAAAATTAACATTCTGAGCCGATCCGATTGCCCTTCTAATTTAAAATGAAACTTAAGGTTGGCAAAATAATTATTATAGGGGTCATTTTATGCTTTTTGGGGTTTTCTCTTTCGTGTAGTGTGTTGTAGGTTGTTGTGCATGTAAACTGTCTGCAAAGGATAAAATCCCAAAGTTCCCTACAGAGGGAGTTTCTCTCCCACTAACACCCCCCCTGCCTGAAACATCTCGATTGTAGTTTTGTCATATAGCAGTGGCGGACTGGCCATCGGGACGAATCCCGATGGGCCGGTACCGAAGTGGGCCCCCACCCCCCCGTTGACAATTTACTAGTGGTACCGAAGTGGGCCGGTCGAGATGCCCGGGCTGATTTTTAGTCCCAGTCCGCCCCTGTCATATATTGACATCACTAGGTAACAATCACCCTTCTATTGGCTAGCTCCAACACATTGTACGTGATAGGCTGAGCGGCGGGACAACTCTAAGCGGTTCACCAATCAGAACAGAGCCGGCCAGCTAACCAATCAGAGCAGACTGGGCTCTGGTTTCAGACAGAGGGTGAAAAGAGGTGCTGCAGCACAGGCAGTATGAGAGAAATAAAGAGCTTTTTGAACATTAAAGCATGGAAACAAGTCACAGGAGAGACACTAAATACTGATATGAACCTGAAAATGAGCAAAATAAGGCCACTTAGAACGGACTGGCCTTAACAGTTCAAGGGAACATTTGAACTGTGACACATTCAAAACATGATGCAACAGATTATAGTGGACATCCATGAACAGCTAATGCACCTGACTCTAAACTGAATTGATTGATCCTTTAATAAGAACAATATTTGGGGGAAAAGAAAGGCAGGTTTTTTGAAGAGCTGATAGTCAACAAGACACTTAACTATATTTAAAAACATTCACAGAGGTGTGAAGCAGTCTAAGTGGAAGCACTGACCTCTCTGCTGGTGTTCCGCCTCCGTTTGCTCCAGCAGCGCAGACAGCTCTCTCTCTCTGTCCCGCGCTTTAAGAGTTGTAGACGCCAGTTCCTCTTCATGAGCCCGCTCTGCACTCTCTCTGTGCTGCCTGGGGGAAAAGAAACAGGGTGTTAAAGAAACATTTAAACCCAAACTTTTATAAAATAATAAAAAAATCCTCAAACAATGAATCATATTATTTATATACATTTGCCTCAGGCGGCTTTACAGCATGTAACACCCTCTGTTCTTAGACCCTTGCAACAGATAAAGAAAAAACGCCCCTAAAATTGTTTTTTAATAGCACCTCAGATAAAAATGCACAGGTTAGAAAAAAGCATGTTTTTTTATATGTACAATTTCATCACATAACTTACACCTACAGTGTGTGTAAAACCAGTTAGACCAAACAGAGATACTAAATGATGTTCTTTTGCTTAAGATGATTGATAACTCATCTCCTGCTTGTGGTGGAGAACATGTACATTTGAGGTGTTTTGAGTTTGGTTTGTTTTCAACTGCCCTATGACTAAAATGTTGAATTGTTTTAATCAAAAGTGATTAACTACACAAACAAAATTGCAGTGCTGAAAGCAGTACATTTTATAATTGCTCTCAAAATGACATGTGCAAACTAAGCAAGACAGTGATGTGAAACACCCAACATCATCATGAGTTATTTCCGAATGATCAAATTAAGGCCTTTCATTTGTTCAAGGATTAAAACAATGAATCAGGCAAAGTCAGCAACCTCTCAAAATATTCAAAATATATCGCTTAGGATTAGCAGATTGATCACAGCATTCCTACTAAATTCCACCATACTTGATTGTGAAGGATATCAATAACGTGAAAAGAGAAAGACTGATAGGTAAACACAGAGGTGAGAGAGAAAGCAGGACGAGAGCACACACTGTAAAAACAAGAGGATGAAATAAAGGACGGAGAGGAAAATGACAGGAAACACTCGGGGGGTAGAAGGGTAAAAGTGTCAGGCCACTGTCGGCTTTAAGACCCCTGAGTGATACTGCAGCTGTCTACAAAACACATGCACTTACACACCGACACACACACACACACACACACACAGACACACACAAAGATACAGTCGAGTACAGACTCTTTTGTAGTGTTGAAAAAAGATTGTTCTGCTCTGTGATTTAAGCTGATTGACATAGAACTTGCATCCAAATCATTCAGTTTCGAGCCATATTAATTGCCAAAGAAATGCAAACACTACGCAAAATAACATCAATCCATCAATCGGAGTCTGTAGTTCTGAAGAGGTCAACACATTTCAACACATTTGGTGCCAATCAAATCGCTTTGATCTCCACGTTTCTTCGTCTCAATATCTAAATTGTGCAGGTAAGAGGCAAATTGAGGTGTTCATCCCTGCATTTCACTCCAGTTTGCACCAAACTTTCTAACTCGGCTAAGTGTACCCAAACAACAGAGGAACAGACAAAGAAAAAAAATTACAAAGACAGGAAAAAAAACGAACAAATAAACAGAACTCTTCCTGAAGTCCAAAGGCGCTAATGAAGAGAGAATTCTCCAGTTTAAGTGAAAACTTTTCTCCCCTACAGCGCTTGGCCTGCATCTCTAAAGTGACCGCGTCTGTCTGTTCCTTCGTGTGTGTGTGTGTTCTCCTGCTGTCCTGCTGTCTGGGGTGTGAAAGCGGGTGGCGGGTGTGCAGGGGACACAAGGAGAGTGTGTGTGTCTGTACTCGTATGAGTGTGTGCGTGTGTGTGAGAGTGAATGAACCCCCGCTGGGCTTGAACAGCAGCCTGAGCCACCAAAGCGCACACCAGGGCTCAGCGGGAGATGGCGGGCAGGCGTTGCCAGCCATTTGGTCCTGCAAGAGGTTCCAGGGGGCCGTGTGTATTTGCGTATGCCTGTGTGTGTGTGCGATTGGGGGTGGTGGGTGTGGGGGGGTACTCACACCAGACCTGTTTACCCACCAATTAGCATCAGACAGACCGCCAGAAAGTTCCAGCAGTCAGCAATAGAGAGGTGGTGAGGAAGAGGAGAGCGATGAAAAACAGAAGAGGATAGAAAAGCAAAAAAAACACATTTGGCATCTGTTTGGTTTTTGCTGATAAACTGAACCAACATTTAACAAGTACATCTTAGTAAAGTTGTACAAAACAGAGTTGAACAACAGACTCTCGGGGACTGTATTTCTAGATGGGAGTGGGAGAACCTTGAGGAGCATTTTATGATTCTAAGTTTTGGTTCAATAAGTTAGGATTGAGGAGTTTACATTTCTGTGACAAGGGCCTAAAAGCTTCATCCAGAGCCAAATTAAAGTGGAAAGTCCGGCTAGTTTATGAAGTTATTTCCCCTGCGCCATTTTCTATTCCCAAACAAAATCAAGGCGTATACTTGCAAAGCGCTTTCACAAAATGGCTGCTGGTGAACACTGTCAAATTAAAGCATTAAATGGAGAAAGCGAAGGAGAGATGACAGTGGAGAGCCAAGCCCTGGAGCAGGCGTTGAGGGCGACGGGGAGAGCAGAGGCTGAATGTGTGGGGCTGGAGCTGGATAATTCTCCCTGGACAATAATCTGCCTTCCAGCTAATTGGGGAATGGGCTCTGGGTTGCTGCCTGTGGCAAGAACTGTTGTTTGGGCCTAGGAGGCAATAGACTGAATGTTCAGTTAGCGGATAGCTGGGCCTGTTTGTATTTGCCTGGCCTGATGCTCCGTAGGACAGCTTGATAAGTATGGCGAGAGCCGCATGGGCCAGCGGCCTAAGGTAGGCTGGAATAGCTCTGGGGCTGCGGCCAGGTACAGTGGCTGCTGGGTAAGTGGGAGGTGGCAGAGGCGGCGGCTGGCTGGTGAGATGGCTGGAGCGGTGAGGAAGAAGAGGGGGCCCAGTCTGCACGGCCTGCCTAAGTGGGCACTATTCAAGCTGTTGCCCATTAGATGTGGGGTGCCAGGGCCTGACCAAGCACGGAGTTTGCAGCACCCCATGGTGCAGCCGGCATCCCACGCCAGAACCACCAAATGCCGCGGTTTATCAGAGAACGAGCACAAATTGGAGTCAGACGGTGGACTTGGAGGAATTGGAGACACCCGCCAACGCCAGACACCACTGACCGCTGTGTGGACTAAAGTTAAAGAGACTATTGCAATACACACAGCATCACCCGATACACATACACACAAACTTAATACATACAGTTTATTAACTCACACATAAATAATATGACTTGATTCATTAAGCTGTCTAAACTTGAGGTTTTGGACGCAATATATAGAAGCAAATACTGTATACAGAGGATCTATTTGTACATTAAAACTAATGCAAAACTAAAGAAAAGAATACCTTAAACTAATGCATATTCATATTTATGCCCAGAGACGTTTCAGTGTTGCAAAATAACAGGTGTGAAATTAACATACAGGTGAACATAGTGTGAACTCAGCCTATAGCAGGGACACGTAAACACAGAAGCGTAGTTCGCAACAAAGAGCTGTTGAGGAGGAGATTGAGAATTAAGTGGAAGACCAGATTTAATAATACTATTTCTGTCACAGAGGACCATCTGTACTAATGACTATAATCATGGCAATTTTCCGTACATTGAATATTAACTCAAATTCCAAATGAGCTGTTTTAAAATGTCATTTTCATAAATAGACATTGTGCATTACCTGTCGAATCTTAGACTGCTTGTAACTCTTATATCTAAGTAATAGTATACACAAAAATTAATCATCTTGTATTTGAGGAATATCTTTAAAAGAAAGTTGCATTTAAAGACTATTTTTAGAGTGATGTACCTGTAGTCTCGAGACTTGCTGTTGATTTACTGAAATGCACTGATGCTTTACTATGAAATTACAACTGTTGTTGCCGAACTGCTCAAAATGTTGACACTCGTGCCGATTCATTTTTGTGGAGAGATTCCAGTGGATCCACAAGCTACTCATGATAGACTGCATCAATCAGCGCGCATTCATATTCCACCGTTTAATACGCAGAAGTACAAAGATGATTTCTGCTAATGTGTGAGTGGGCTTGTGTTTGTGACTGAGAGACGGTGAGACACAGGCCCGTCTGACCCGCACTGCCAACAAAGGAGGAGTGCACCGCCGAGAAAACAAAGTGACATATTGAACATTTGCTGCGTATCATTGACGCGGCGTACAATAAACATCTGAATTGTTTCACGCGATCTTCTCTCGCACGCACCTTGATGTGTTTTAGCACATTATTATTAAACCTTGAGGTGATGTAAGTCAATCTGCTCCCACATTTTTCTTCTGACACTCCTCCCCTTACAGTGTAGTTGCCAACTCATAGAGGCCTATTGTGAACCCGGAAATGTTGAGTACCCCAACGTTTTAGGTCAGGAATGTAAAGTATGGGTCCCAAGCACATAGAAACTGCAGGATGCTAACTTGCATATGTTGGGCAATTTGCACAAGTTGCATTAATTAGCGTTAAATTGCATTATAGCCGCTGCAGACAATGCCGGCAATCAGAATATTATCTCGCAGCTTTTCTTATGAAATCACACACAGCTGGATGTAGCCTAGCCGCAGCTTTACCCCGTGTCCACTCTATCTATCTGTCCATATATCCGTCTGCGCTCATCTCTCCTCCGATTCTTTTTTTCTGCCGTTTCCATCTCTCCCTCCTTCCTCCTATTTTCCCTCCCACCCTATTTTTTCCTGTAACTAAACTGGCTGTGTCTCTCTCCATCTGCTGGTTCTTCCTTCAGCGGCCCTGCACCTGTTCACACCTCCTCTCCTGTTGGCCACCTCTTCTCTCTTCTCCCCTCTCTCTCCCCCCCCCCCCCTTTATCTCCCTCTCTCTCTCCCTCCCTCCCTCCCTCTCTATCAGTGCGGTGCTGCCAGGCCCGTTTCCTGGCTCAGTTAGCCTCTCTGTCATTCAATCCATCTGTCGGCAAGTCAACTTTGTTTACAGCGGGTGGCCCAAGCCTCTTTTCTTCTTCAAGGAGCGCTAAAGCCCCCCCCCACTGCCACCAAGGTCAGCAGCAAGCCAATCCTCATGGAAAACTAAAAACTGCAACTGTTAAATGAACAGAAACTCATCCCCCAGCACACATGTACACGTAGGGAGAATAACTCTCTAG